ACAAAATGCCAAATTACACCTTATGTATGGTTTTATATATCTAGTTATATAAAAAAACAGGTTTCTAATTGTAGCTATAAAACTTGACATGAGATATTTATGGGGTTACAATCTTGAACTTAAAAAGTAAACTACTTGAAAATGTGCAAAAGTTTCTGCAGAGTTGTTGCAGAGTTAAATGATCAGGGAGAGAAAGATTGTCTCAGCAAAGTCTTTCTCCAAAGTAATAAATCAGATCAATAGAACCTCATTATTTTCAGCAGAGGGCGCAAAGAGACAAAGTTACTAAGATTTTGAAACAGTTCTTCTTCATCGTTGGAAAGCTGTTTCTGGCTGATGGAGTATGAACCAGTTCCTCTGTGTGATGTTCCTTCCTCTTTATCTTCCTCTGCTTCAGTCAGCTCAGCAGCTCAGGCTGCCTTTCTCTCTGGTGTTTGTAGAGACCGGCATGCCGCTCTCATCCACACACCAACACTTTCCACGCTGCTTCCCTCGAGATGACCAGCACTGTACAAACACACAGTGAAGCTAACAGTCAAGCTGCAAATACAACCACATCTCTGTTAATGGGATTTGTTGAAGATTGAACTCACCTGCTTCTTTCTGAAGAAACCACGCTTGTCACAGTTGGGCATGTAGATGTCATGGTTTGACTGAAATAAATGTGCATCAAGACCTTGGATGAGTGTTGTAAGCAGTTTTCGACATGGAGGCTGGAAGAAGAGTTAAACAGGAACATTTGAGTGTGTGACTGATTTCAGCTCAGTGATTTTACTGTTTCACTGATGAAGAGGATATTTACCTCATCTGGATCCACAGTGGGAGCTAGATCTAGGATCAGATAAGGACATAAATAATTGCACAGATCACTCATAAATACAACATGATGTTCATTTTACTGTGATGTCTGCCTTTTATTATTTAAATATCTCGTTTTAGTTAGTAATTATTCAGATTTCTGGTCAACTATTCAACTTAGGTAGTTAATGGCAGAAATAATATTAACACAACTAATTTGTGCGTATAGAATTGTTATACTGCTTTCACTGAGCCATAAAGACATGTTTCATGTGACTTAATTTTACATTTCACTATGTCTGATGTTTTTATTTAACAGCTTGTGCAGGATTGAGCAGCAGAAGAAACCCAGTGTGTAAAAATTGGTGTTCAAATTTGTTTTCTTGACCTTTTCAAACTCATTATACTGTCACAGAAAGTTTAGCTCTATATCTATTTGTTGATTAAATGTGAAATGGGATGAGATGTTAGAAATCCACAGCTGTTTCTCAGCTAAACTGTTACTGTGCTTCATACCTTCCCTCCCATCCCCTTCCAGACATGAGGTGCAGTCTGAGGCTTACCTGCAGTGTGGATCTTCTCCGTCTGGCTCACGCCGCTGGCATTGCTGCAGACCCCTCTGCCCTCCAGCAGAGCTCGGAGAGGCCTCGGCTCATCCTGTGGCGGTGCACAGCGCAGCCCATGGGCACAGCTCTGAGTGTAGACTCCACACAGGGCTCCAACAGCCAGAGAGGTGGTGTTTAAATCCACCAATGGCTGACTCTGTGAGGGCTTTCCTTTGCAGCCAGGACATCCTCTGGAGCGTGTGGTCAGCGGCACTGGGTCTGACAGAGCCAGCTGCAGGAGGAGCAGCATCAGGATGTTGAAAGAAAGAACCATCTTACTCTGAAGGTTGTCCATTAATGGATAATAACAGTCCAGTCTCTCCGGTTTCCTATCCTACTCTGTTCCCTATTTTGCACTACCTTAGTGAAGTTCCACTGACTGAAGTTTGCCTGTGTCTGAAGGGTTATATAATTCCCTCGAGCAAAGACAAAATGATAATGAGGCTGACAGACAACACTGGCGGCAGCTTTTAAAGAGCCTTGAGCAGAGGGGGAAAGGTAAGGGAGGGTACGTGATGGAGAATGTTAGCTTTCTCTCTCTCATTTCCACAGAGCCGAGCACACCCAGTTTCCCTATCTGACACACACACACACACACAGTCTCACTCACGTGTGCTCATACCATTTGCTGTCTGTCATCCCACAGGATAGTAATGTTTTCTGCGTTGACATAAATCACATGTGATCGCTGTGTACGCTGCTCCATTGCTCTCTCTCTCTCTCTCTTCCTCACTATGAAAGACATTTATATCCAGAGGTGACGCTTTAATGGGACAAACTGATTTCTCTGCTCGTGTTTTTCAAAATTGTTCCTGGTCATCAAAAAATAAATGTATTATTTTTATCAGAATATAGTAGAATTTGTCTTATAATCAGTCATTAGTGTTTTAGGTTCAGAACTTAAAGGTCCAGTGTGTAAGATTTAGTTGAAAGGGAACTATTGGCAGAAATTTAATGTAGAATAATCCTCATGATGTTTTCACTAGTTCTTTTCATATAAATTGTATGAATTGTAGTTTTCTTTACCCCAGAAAAGCCCTTTATATTTAAATACTTATCATATTTACATCGAGGGGGTCCTCTCTATGGAGGCGGCCATGTTTTTTACATTAGTCCAGACTGGACAAACTAAACACCTTTTGAGTTTTTATGACAACTGAAGCTACCATAGGTTCTTTTTCATCTTTGGAAGTGGGGGGTGAGGTGAGGGGTGTTCAGCTGCAACATGCAACTTCAACACTAGATATCACAGAATTCTACACACTGTACCTTTAAATCACTAACACAAATTGAATACAAAAGTAAAACAATCAGCATTGGTGGAAGAAGATGTATTCGTTATTTGAAGTAAGCTACTATATGCAGCCTAATGTTAGTTTTTTTAGAATATAGGACAAGATGGTGAATTACCCAAGATTTGAAGGTCTTTTGCACAATTTAAGTTACCAACTACCACCAGATGTTGGCAGGTGTTAGCGGCCACCAGCAGATGTTAGGGACATAACCTCATTTGTCATCAAATGTTTTGGCCTTTGGATATAATATTTATCAATGGAAATCTACACAGAATGTTGGACAAGAGTATCAGGTCTGATTTCAGGGTGGTAGTGGCAATATGTAATGGGACTGTAAGCTGTTGGCCCATGTCCACCAACATTTCCCAGTCTCTGGCTTGCTCCAACTGACCACTCCTGGTCAGTAGAGGAGGCCTTCTCTGTCCTTGTTCCCCCTTGTTGACAAATGTTGTCTATTGAACTATGCTCAATGTTTTGGATGGAAAGGCATTGGCAGCAGTTCTCTTTGTTTCACTTGCTGCTTCAAGGCATATGAGTACCTGGTTGTGTCTCCACATGTACCTACCTTGGGAGAGAATTATTTTATAACCGATGAGGAAGTGCCTGAGGGTAACTGGAGTTGAGCATAGTGGGCAGGATGGGTCTCCAATCAGCCACTGCTGTAGGTTTAAAGGTGAGGGAAGGCATCATAGATTGCCCTCAGCAGGAAGCTAATCCTGCTTATAGTAATAGTGTCCAAAAAACTAATAATAATAATGAGGATAATGATGATGATGATTGTCCATAATAAAATAATAATTACTTATTTATATCGCACTTACCATAGTATCAAAGTGCTTACATGAAACAGAACAACAGAGCTTAAAAACAGAACACATTAAGACAATAAAAAGATGTTAAAAACAATAAAATGTATGACAAAAACTACTGTAATTTTACAATAGAGGTAATTCTACTTAGAAAACCGAATTCCATGACATTTTTAAAGCAAATATTTTACTTTTTAGTGGACTTAAGTTATCTAACAGCTGTCATTACTAGTTACTCAGGAGATTGTACATACAAAATCTATAATAGGTCTGTTGAATATGATTACACTAATCATACACTACATAACAGTTTTTATCAAGCAAATGGCTCAACAGCAAATCATTTTGCTGCAGCACTTTGCAGTTTATAATGAGCTGACAACATAGTAGTTCTTTGAGATTGATTTGATATGTAGTTTAGAACACAAGGTCAGTTACAATCATATATTAAAAATGTATAAATGAATGTGTTGCCTCATAAAGTACTCAAAACAATACAAGAAACCTAGTTACAGTAACAGGAGTAAACATTAAGTTTCATCCACCATTTTTGTTCTTGTTTATGATACTAACACTAACCCTTTAAATAGCTACCACTACACGAACTTTGTTGACGGGGTGTTTTTACAAAAGTCTGTAACTGCGGGGCTGAAGATTCAGAGGAACTGGCCGACAACACCAGGCTGAAGGTGTGCCACTCAAGGCTGGATGACTAAGACATTAATAGCCACAGGCAGAAAGGCCCACCCTGTAAATTCCACTGGGTGTGAGCCACAAACACTTTAAAGTAGGAGACAGGATGAAAGAATCTGGCAGCTTGTCTTCTACAGTCATTAATTACTAGCCTGCCAGTTCATCTAACATGATGACTATGAGAAAAAAAAGAACATGAAAACAGCCTGATCACTCAGGTTAGACTGGGTATGTGAACATAAGTGCAAGAAGGATTACATTAAATTGTGGTTATAGTTTGTGACTTCAATAATTATTCCACCTGTCCGGTTCACCCCATGTTTGTTCCTAAGGTCTTAGGATATTTTGCCCCAGTCTGATGAGGTACTTTGATTTATCATCAAAGGCAAACATTCCCACTCCTTAATTCAATCAATAAATATTTTCTTATTTAAATTTCTACATTTCAAATTATACCATATATTATGTATGTCAAAGCKGAAATAGAAAGTCTGTTCATAAACTAGATGGGCAGAACATAAATATTAGGTTGCTATTTTGTTGTTTGGGCCTTAGGGAATGGGGATAGACATGTTTTTTCATATTTCTGAACTTTAAAAGACAAGAATAATCAAGAAAATAATTGGTAGATTAATCAATAATGATAATAACTTAGTTTCCACTGTGAAAATGTTTCAGGCTTTTCAGATGTTTAGATTCTTATCATCAGTACCATCAGGGAGGCGTCTGATCTGTGTCTTTGATCAGCTTAATTCTGCAGCTTGACAACGAGCTCAGACATACAACCAGAGTCACGAAGAAACGTTCCCTAAAAACAAGGAGTCCTGCAGCAGATGATATGAACCCTGACAGAGTCCAGATCTCAACGTCATGGGGTCAGTCTGAGATCACATGAAGTTACAAACAAAACTGAGTCACACAATCCACAGATTCTATTTAATTCAGGTTTTCTTTATTTCTTTTTCATTGCACTTTCTGGACAGTGCATTCAATTCCGTTTATTGTGGACAGCCAAACCAAAACTGCATCCTAAACCCCAACCATGACCAATTTACACCTTAGCACTAACCTTAACCAAATGATGTTTTACCTCATTGAAACCAGTCTTTGTTTTGATTCTTCATATTCAGATTCAGATCTATTTGTAACTTCCCCAATACTCATTGCAGCATAGCCTACATATGAGCGAAATGCCATTCTCTACAGATCAGGATGTGATATAAAAAAACAAAGTGTGCAGCATTAAAAACTTAGCTCGTTGTCAACTAAATGTCTGGACATTTAAAGTGCTGGACCAAACATGATTTGCTGTAACTCTAACAATAGCTCTAACCCCTAACCTACACACACACACACACACACACACACACACACACACACGCACACACACACACACACACACACACACACACACAGCACTGCACAGGTTAAGGACTTCAATATGTACTCATCCTGTGACGTGATTGAATGAGGGATCCGTAGGCGGGACTTCCGGCGGCGCAGGTTGGAGTACAGTGACAGACTTCACGTCCTTAAAAGTGGAAGATAAAGCGAAGGATGACGCGCCGGAGATTTTAACACAGTAAGGACTCAGTGTAAGAGAGAGGGGCTTTAATGGCGAGGCTCTGACCTCAGGTATATTCATGTTTACGTCATGTTCTTGGCCACAAAGCGCGACAACGTAAAGACGCTGAAAGCAGCGAACCGGCCATGTAGTTCGGCTAATGTGCTGCTGCCTTCAAGGTAGGCTCGTAAAAAGGTACACTGTAGAAGTGAACACGGAACAACAACACTACGAGGCATCAGCTCCATTGTTTGTTTACTGTGTCAAAACTGCTCACCAGCTAGATATATGTTAATTCAGTTTAAATCACTGATATCTTACAAGAACGAGTCAATGCTTTCCCTTTACTCCTCGTGGTTTAGAAGGAACAGACATTTTCAGGCTCTTTAAAACGAAACGTCGATATCCTCCCGCTACAAAGACTGTGTCCTGTAAAGTATTGATCCAGTGTAAACACCCAGTAAAGATGTATTTGTACTTATTACCCAACAGCTGGTTAAGTACGTTCACTTGAGTACTACAACCGGACAGAGGAAAAAGGAAGTAGATCACATTGGTGGAAGAAGTGCTCAGACACATTACTTTAGTAACAAACATGCTGTTGTGTGTTAGCGTCATGTAGTTTAAATTTCAATCTTGTGTTTGTATGAAAATATACTTTTATATACTCTAAGTACCTCAAATAAAGTACTTATTATGTACATATGTGCCTATTATGTAGAATTGCTTATTTGTAAATAACATACTGTATGTTATTATATATATAAAGTTATTAAATTCATGTAGTGGAGTTAAAAGTACAATATTTGCCTGCTGAAAGTTAAAGCAGCAGTAATGAGGCAGGAAATGATTCATACTCAAGAAAAACAAAATGTCCTCATAACAAGCAAACTGATCTTCAATCAAACAACCACAATTGACAGAAAATGATCATTACCTCTTCTGATAATTCACAAATGATTCAGTCAAGTAATTCATTAAAAAGTTGTTCCAATTACTTTTTTGGGGGTGAATTTTATTATTGTACTCTAAATATAGAAAATGTAAAGGTAAACAAGTGCTTTTAATTCAGCCTCTTGGTGTAAG